ATTTCTTGATTGTTACTTAAATTTAATCTGCCTAATTGTTCTGTAAATGATTCACTTTCTTCTTCTCCTTCCTGTTGGATCATATCTTCTAATTCATGTTGAGCTTTTGTATGTCGAGAAACTAGATTACCATTACATGCATATGATGAACAATAACAAGGAATACGAGTATTTTATTGGGTTGACATAGAAGTCTTAGCTATATCAGAACCCACACTTTCTGAATCTGTAATAGAATCTAAAATTTGTTTAAAACTACGATTTCGTGGCATTGTAAGTAAATTTAGTATATAATTGAGCTATTATAAATTATTATTGTTAAAATAAGACTTGAAATATTTTTTCTTTTTTTCAAAAAAAATCAGGCTTTTTATTAAAAAAATTAGTTACAATTATAAATATCAATAGTTTATTAATAGTTTCATATACTATGACCTTTATATAACTAGTTTTATATTCAATGAAATTCATGTAGTTTCATATACAACGATATGGTTTTATATACGATGATGTTATATTCATGCAGTTTCATAATACAATGGTTAGAGATAGAGAAGTTTGGTTTGATCTAATATCATGCATCCATCAAATTTTAAACTAAACCAAACCAAACTTCCCTATCTCTAACAATAGTATATTTTTATGTAATTAAATTATGTGCATAACTATCGATAATGTTGTCATTGATGAATAAAGACAAAATAAAAAATAAGGTTATATAATTTATCGATTACTAGACTTGCATTAAGAAATTAATTTTTAGAGCCAAATTTTCAGTATATTAGCCGAATTAGTTGAGTATTATCAAATAATCTTCTACATAGTATATAACAAAAATGATGAAAACATACAATCTAATAATTTAAAATAAAGCATAATAACAAGAGTATTATTATCAAATAAGATTCTAGTACATAACAAAAATGATAAAGTACATACTATTTAATAATTTAAAGTAAAGCGTAAGTAATAACAATTTGAGTATTACTCAAATGATATCTAGTACATAAAAATGATAAATACAAAACAAAATCAATAGTATCATCAAATAAAGCTTTATATTTGTTAAATATAAATTTTAATGTGACCATATTTTTTTCAGTGAGTTCTTTATTTATCATCTCTGTGAGTTCTCTAGTTATCATCTAAAATATGCATATAATTACTCATTTATGTAAATCAGTTTAGTGCAAAAGTAGCAAATTTCGCATCTTAGCACAAACAATGTTGATGACTATTTTGCTAAAAAATAGCGCTATTTTAGATGCTATAAAAACCTGAGGGTTCTGATATATATATAATGTAATTGTTTACTAAAACAATTACATAGTATGCATATAAAATCGGGCATCGACCTTTAATCGATGTGCTAAGGTAATTGAGTAATTAAATTTTTATTTGCCATTCTTGAAATAGTGATACATATAAATAGGAAGAAACTTTTATAAAAAAAAAAATAAATAAATGGCTAAAACAAAAAAATCTATTTCTTCTCTATCTACAAAAAAGACAACACGACTATCAACAAATCAACCAACTCCAACCACTTCAGCTACATCAACAAAATTCATTGACTCCTAACAAACTACAACTATCCTTTCTATGCAAACTACTACATCAACCTGATTACAAAGTTCCCAAAGCACACCATTATCAC